AAAAAATAATAATAATTACTTAAAATAATAAAAGATTTGGCATATCTTCAAATATTTATATAGCTATAAAAAAAATTCTTAACATAACTTTCATCAATTTATATCTAACATATCTTTCGTAATCCTTTGTTTTGATCAAAATTTGTCAACTATATTTTTAAAATTATTTTTGTTTATAAATACTAACTGTAATGATAGTTTAATAATGATTATTAAAAATTACCGTGCATGGCACGGGAACTAACCTGGTTGTAACAAAAGGCACAGTCAATTATCGCTATTTCATTTGTCAACTGTCCGCTTGTGGGAACTACATTGCAATGTTTACTGTAAATTATGTTGTTATATATACCTCGCTATTTTTGTGATAATCTAGAGAGGCTCTATAAAGGAATTTCATTAGATAACTTGAAGAAGCTTGTGTTTTATCTATACAATATGGCATTTTAAATATTTTTTTATTATTGAATGTGAAACATTTTGCTAGTTCGAAGGAGTTCGGTTTCTTTCTCCTTTCTCATGGAAGGGATTGGAACTATGGCATTTTAAAATTCATCAGAGTTTTCAAATCTTGCTTCTCGACATTGCTAGCCAACAATCTTGCTGCCCCCTGACACTTGATGCTTGTTGCATAGCAGCATAGCTGTCTTTTGATGAAAAATTCTCAGCCAATACTAGCTTTGGTTCTCAAGGACTCAACTAAGGACATAATCATAATTACACAGTTTATAAATTTAAAAAGAAAATGAAATGAAACGTCCTCTATTGATGTGTAAATACATATAGTTGGTATCTCCTCCATACCAATGTCTAGACATCCAATTTGTAATACTAGTGTATAATGATGTTGGTATACCATCGAAAGGAGCTACGCTTGTTGAGATATCATAGTGTAACCTGAATGTGCCATTGGATTTAGAACTAGTCACATGCCAATAATAGTTTCAAGTAATATGTTACTTAAGGGAGAAAATAACAAACACTAAACGAAATAATGCTCACAAGGCAAAAACACAACTCTCTAGCAACTCAAACGACCTTGAATCAAATTAACTTACCACCCAAAGCAATACTCCGTAATATATTTCAAACCGTTGAAATCTAATACCAAACACGAGCTTGACTACCTTGATGAGGAGCATTACTACCATGGAAGTGCGCATACAAATTGAAATTTGGGGAATTTTTTGTAGTTTTATTAAGGTGAAACAATTTTTCTTTTCTTTTCTTATTTTTTTTTTTTTTTTTGTGAAAAATTTGGGGAAATAAAGGGGCAAAATTTTCTCCCACCACACGTCAGTAATTATGCAAAAATAAGACCATTTCTGAAATTAAATCCCCACCTCTTAAATGATTTTTTTACTTATATAATCTTTCTCTTTTTTCTTTATATAATTTAATATATTTTATTATTAGTTGGGTCCTTGAGGACTAAAGCTAGTATATGCTGAGAATTCCTCGACTTTTGATATGGTATCTCATGGATCCTTGCCAGTTACTTGGATCCTTAATTAATTGGAATTAAAAGTGATACGATATATACTTTAATATCTTGTATAAAGTTACCTTTGAAGTTTGAAGTTATGGAAATCAAGATAAGATTTACTAGTAAGAATTGACATCGCGCTACATGCGCGTGGATGCCTCACGTAAGAAATACCACTGATATATTTTTAAGTTAATTTAAAATAATTTTACCCTTTCTTATTTTATAGTAAGTTTAGGGTTTTTTTGAAAATTGCCACCAACTATTCTTCTCGTTTTAGTAATGATCACCAATAATTTTTAAAAATTTTTTTACCACCTATTATTTCCAAAAACATAAAATTTTCCCACTAAATTGCTCAATCCCTCATGGATGACATCATTGTGTATTCTTTTCTAGCTGCTATGATTCTTTTTGTACTATGCTGAGATCTCTAAGGGGTGAGCCTTAGCAAACTTTATCACATTAACCTACTCTATCGCAAAGACCCATGTTCACAAATATCAATTCAACCATAGTCCAATACACAAAATTCTCAAAAATACCAAGAAAAGGCCAAAATAGCCAAAACTTCACACAATTTAGCTAAAAAAACACAAATTGAACCTTAAAAACCACATTACAAAATGAAAATACGAGTTTGAAATTACAATTCCAAACCTTAATTCATCCAATAATAAACACATAATTCTGCAACACCACAAATAATTAACAATAAACCCTAGATTATGAAATTGAAATTCGATATTTTAAGAAAGTACTACCTCATAAGCCGATTCAATGGAAGATAGAAATCTCACAAGCCGGTTCAATGGAAGATAGAAATCTCACAAGCCGGTTCAATGGAGGAGAGAAATTCTCACACGATGGGCCACTTCAATTGAGAATCGAGAGTACACTTCAATGGAGGAGTTAAAGCTTTAATGGAGGAGAGAGAAAATCAGGAACTCAACCCTAAGATAGAGAAATCAAGAACACAAGCTTAGAAGAGAGAGTTGAGTTTTTTTTTTTTTTTTTTTTTTTTTTTTTTTTTTTTTTTTTTTTTTTTTTTTTTTACTCAAAACTAGGATTACATTGATAATCAAAATCCAAACAGCACTTACAAACGTTTCCTGACAAATCTAAAATTTCAACACAAATACAAAACACCTTAGAACTAAATTGATCAATAGTAGCATTAATAAAAAACTTCATCCGAAGCAATACAGTCTATGAGTTAGCACTAATTCGGCATAAGGTCCACTGATGCATAGTCGTTTGGTTAAAATTACGCATGTGGTATTCTAGATACTGATAGAAAATATGAAACCCTAGATCTTCATTTATAGCGTGACGAACAATCAACGAGCATAACCTTTGCAAGCAAACTGAAAATTACCAAATTCTAACCTTCCCTACAAGGGAAGAGAAGAAAGACATATTCCAAAGTCCAAACTCCCAAAAAAGTAGAGAAAAAATCCAAAAATTTAAGAAGAAACCTCTCATAAAGTAAGAAAAAAGAGGATTATTAAAAACAAAACAACTAAAATCTAAGGTAAATAGGGAATGAATTAGGACTTACCACTTACCACCATCAATGAGATGATGATGGTATCCCCTTGCGGCAACAAAAGTATTAAAGGTTTTTGAGTTTTTTTAAGAGAGAGAGAAGAAGAGAGCACGGCTGTTTGATACATTATTATTGAATGTTAGAATTTAAAATGATAGCTTTATGACGCAATTTCTACCCTACTCCTGGAGAATCGTGAGCATGATATTCCAGGGTTAAACGTTGTCGTTTATTTGCTTAGACATTAGGAACATAATCAGCCTCCCTTTATTATCCCTTCCTTCTTCCCCGCTTTCCCCTTTTTCTTCCTGCTATACTTTTTTTCCTCTATTTTCTTTCAATTTTTGTGAGTTAATCAATTTTTTCTTCCAATTACAATTTTTGTAAATTAAAAACAACACTAGTTTAAAATAGAATAACATAAGATATGGTTTATTTGAATATCACATGTTTAAAACAAAATAACAATAGACTTTAAATAGAATAACACCAATTTGTGTACGAAGTAACACAAAGTTTAACCTAAAATAGCACATAACTTGATAACTGAATAACTTAAACTTCTACTGAAAATAACATAAGATATTAAACAAAATAACAATAAATTAACTCAAAGGTTAAGTAGAATAATAAAAGAATACATTAAAATAACAAACAACACAAAGTTAGGATTTCATTAAAATAACACAAGATAAAAATAAAATAACATTAGGCTTAAAATAAAATATCATCATTTATGAAACAAAATAACAAATGGTGTTTTAGAAAAACATGAAATAATTTTGCCAAAACAAATCTAGTTCCAAAGACTAAAACAACACGTGATGATCAACCCAAAATAACATTAGATTTTAAGTAGAATAACATTAGATATTAAGCAAAATAACATGATTTAAAGAAAAATAATAACAAAACACATTTTAGAAATATATATCTGACTTCACAATAAAATAATATAATATTCAATGCTGAATAACAAAAGCCTAGAAACTAAATTGATCAAATTAACAAGTTTGGAACCAAAATTCAGCTAAATTAATCCATTCTTGAAATATATTCCATAGTAAAACGAAATACATTCGTCAATTCCACTTATATCTAGTTCGAAAAAAATATTTTCGCAAAGTAACATAGGTTTGCTTTAGAAAAATTTATCTATAATTTTTGTTTTTAAATATGAAATTCTCTCATCTAGTTCTTCATTATCATTTAATTGGTTTACCATACTTGCATGTTTTGATTGCAAATTTCATATTATAAATGTAAAATTGCGAAATAATTTATAAATAAAATTAAACAAATGCTTACTTCTCTTGATATGCATTTCTGTAATTTATATTTGTTTTGGACATGATCTTGAAGTTGAATTAGGCCTTCAATGGACACCATTGAAGAAATTTACAGGACTAGTTCATCCACCTTTGAAGAAATTTGCAGGACTAGTTCAAATGGAGAGAGAGAAAGTGAAAGTAGTGGAGTAGAAATGAAATGATTTGATTTTTTTTCATCCACCTTTCTTTTATATATGGAGTTAGTTTCATGTTATTTACTTTTCCTAAAGTGTTATTTTGTCAAATTTAGTCTTGTATGCTTTAATTTCGTTAGTTGGGTTATTAGATTGGGCCTGGCCTGGAGTACAATACTAGGTAGTAGGTAATCATGGAGTGCCTAATACTAATTGGCTTTAGGATTGGAATTTTAATTTATCAACGTATAAATATGTCTTCAAAATCTTGAAATTGAACCAAATTCAATTCCCAAATTCCAAGTACATCCAAATAAGATGATTGGTCCAATGTCATTTGAAATTCTAGTTTCCATATAAGCCATTATTAAGTAACATATTAATGAATTATCTAATAACCCGAGGCACTCATTAGCAAGATCCAACTAAAAATATTACAGAGTAGACATGAATAACATCAAGTAATGCTTAATTGATTCCCAAACGACCAACCTAAAATTGTAAACTGTTGTTGAAAATCACCGACTACAATTTTAATATCAAATTCTGAAACCACCAAACTATAAACACTAAAATAGTCAACAGTTAACACCAACAACATAGGAGGTTGTCTACTGTCTTCTTACTACTTTAAACTCCATCTTCCTTCTTCTCTACACTAACTCTCTAACCCACTCAGTACTACTACCAACAAAGTGGTTGCCATTTTATCAAGAAACATTGTAATTGTAAGATCTCTGCTTTTTTCTACACTCATACTTACTCAATTCTTTCAATCAAATTCATTTTCTTCTGATTTATATACCAAGTTATTACAAATTCTGCAACTTTTAATGGATTATGAAGTTGTATTTCTGGGTTCACTTACATTGATTTATTTACTTGCTTTATTGTACTGGGTATTCCTTAAAGATTTGATTAATGGTCTTAATTTGAGTTCATTTGGTCAATTTAAGAAATTTTACACTAGGGTTTCTAGTTTTGGGGATTTAAATTTAGTGGGTAATAATGGTAAAAACTCAGGTATAAGATCTGTTAATGGGGTTTTAGCAACTGGGTGTTTGTTGATTTTCTTTCTAATTTTAGGTTTTGCATATTGGTTACTTTCTAGTGATTTGCAGCCTAATTCATTGGATCAGGGTTTTAGTATTCCTGGTCCTAATGATGCAAAAGGGCAATGTAATTTGTTTGATGGGAAATGGGTTCCTGATGATAGTTATCCTTTGTACAATGCATCTGATTGCCCGTTTGCTGAGGTCGGGTTTAATTGCTTGGCAAATGGGAGAAGAGATAGTGATTATATGAAATGGAGGTGGAAGCCTAAGGATTGTGATCTTCCTAGGTTTGATGTGCAAGCTTTATTGAATTATCTTCGAGGGAAGCGGGTCGTGTTTGTGGGTGATTCATTGACTAGAACACAATGGGAGTCTTTTATTTGTATGCTTATGTCTGGGGTTGAAGATAAACGATTTGTGTACGAAGTTAATCAGAATCCAATTTCGAAGAAGATTAGGTTTTTGAATGTGAGGTTTGATTCTTATGACTTCACGGTCGAGTTTTACCGGTCTGTTTTCCTGTCCTGGCTTACTACTCCACCGAAACGTGCTCCCAAGAGAGTTAAGTGGACTATCAGACTTGACAAGATGGATAATGCTAATGAAGAATGGATTGATTCTGATGTCCTGATATTCAATACCGGGCACTGGTGGACGAAGACTAAGCTTTTTGAAACGTAAGTTCCTAAGATCTTATTATATGGTTTGATATGATTTGAAGGTATTATGGAACTTTGACTTACTAAACTTTACAGATCTTATTTGTTTGGTTCTCTTTCTCACTAAATTTTGTGTAGTATGATCCGATTTTAATGTTGTCTTTGCACATTCAGTTTAATACAACTCATGATCCCATTATACCTTAGTGATTGGTGAGAACATGGTGAAATTCTATAATTTTGAGTAAAAGATTCTAAAGGGCACATCAGTAATGATGAATCTGTTGCAGTGATGGGATACCAATGACTTGTAATATATATATATATATATATATATATATATATATATAGTCAATACTGAGGCTATATATAGTCTTTCTTAAATGTATGATGACGGCACCATTGTGTATATGCTATAGGAAGATGCAAAATATTTAGTGGTATAATTTTCCATTAGGTTTTTGGTTATAAGTGCACATCAACCAATTGTCATGAGCAAGGTTTTCCCCCAATCAAAATCCATCTTGGACCTATATTTAGTATCTCTTCTACAGTTGTGGGTTTATGGTAGCACAAGCCACCTTGTTACTTCCATCTTAGGCCATGGTTGGATTGGGGGTAATGAATTAAGGGAGTCTTGAAAGCCAAACTAGAAAAAAACATAAGTGATTAGAGGCGGTGTTATAAGAGACAAGGTGTTTATAAGTGAAATAAGGTAGTTGTGACATGATGAAAAGAGAGAGATGGTGGAATTATTACATTCATAATGAAAGTATAGTTACCCATCCTCCCCTTAGGATAACTATAAAACCCCCCAAATGAGGATAATAATTCCCTTTTCTTCACCTCTCAGCACTCCATCACTATAAAATCCCCCCTACAATTACACCATTGCTATCTCATCCTTTCTTATATCCACTTTCATTTTCTGTAGTTTGACTTTTATCACCCTAGTAACACAGTACTATCAATCCAAGCAAACACTTATTGGGAATAATCTTGTGTTTGCCTTTTGTTGCTTGGGTCATTGACCCTGATGAGCATGGCAAACTGAGTTAAATTTTTTCCCCTGATTTCTAATCTCAATGGAATACAGTAACTAGTCTAATAAACTAACCTTATTGTGCTGTCAAAAAATCATCTCTTTCCAGCTCTTACTGATTTTCACTACACTTGACAGGCCTTTACTAGAACTCAAGCTGAAATACGCTATCACTCCTTCAACACCCTTAAACCTTATATATTTATTATTTACCTGGTCGCTTATATAATCTTGATCTGATGCAGAAAGCTCCTCCCTCCTATGCTAGCCACCAGCTTCCTCCCCCCCCCCCCCCCTAATTTGACTTTGCTGGGCGCATCAGGGAGGTGGTGAATATTGAAGGATATGATGATATAATTTAAATTTTTTGTGATGATGTCACGTGACATAAATTTCGCCCAACACAAAGAAGACCTTGTAAGACTATACTTGAAGGATTAGGCCTGGGTGGGGAAACTTGTCAAGTGTAATAGACTTCAGGGACAGCGTGAATTCTTGAAATCATCATTCTCAGAAATGATGGATACACAGAATGTACATGACACGACTTTATCAATATCAATGATATAGTCTTGTTATTGATTTCCTCAATGAAAGGGCTTGCTGCCTGTTTCAGTTATTAACTCATGAGCTCTTGTCCTATCCAATTCTCTATTATTAGATGTCTATGTGCTATCTGTGAGGTTTTCAGTATCTTCTTGTCCCAGTTATCATTTTTATATTTCTATAATATTTGGAGGAAGGGGGAATCCCTTGAATTACAGCTATAATAAACTTCTTGTATTACACATCATTGGAAAAACACCTGTAATTTTATTTCAATTGCTCCAATTATTCTAGGAATTATTGATGTTAGTTATTCCAAGGTTCCTCCATCTTGTGATATGTTAATTAGTTGTTTTGTATGTAACTGCTTCTAACTTGTTTATTCAGACAGGGGTACCTATTTTCAGGTTGGTAAATCTCTGAAACTGGGAATGCCAGTAAGTAAAGCTCTGACCAGGGCTCTTGAAACCTGGGCATCATGGGTTGAATCGAGGATCAATCATAATAGGACCCATGTATTCTTTCGCACTTTTGAAGCTTCTCACTGGAGGTGAGTTTTGTTTCAGGCTTCAGAATATACATATTATAAATTGCCTTTCAGTTTGATTCTGGTGTAATTTAAAGTTAGAACTTGCTTTGAGAAGTTTAAAGTGATCTTTCTCCAATACATGATCATGATCCTACTAAACATTAAAATTTCATACATTCCTTACGGTCCCCCCCCACCCCCCTCTTTTCCCCTTCTGGAATTCTGGATACTTTCTGTATTATTTCCAGCTCATATATGCCAGTATGTGCTGTAACACCAATGTCGTGTTCCAAAAGATTTAAACATTTAATACTTTTTCAAAATGAACTAGAAGACAAATGAGACTTCTAATTGGGGACGGAGGGAGTAACATAGTCTTCATATTTTGGTTATGCCTAGAGCAACATAATTGTTGATTTGGAGAAGTAAATGGTCAATTGTGTAAGGCGTATATTGGTGTTGTTAAGAGCATTTTTTACCTGTAGGCTGTAGACCTGTAGCTGTATCCTTGTAAGCAGAATAAATCAATAATTTTCTATACTTTTTCTTTAGTTAAAAGTTTTATGCTTCAGTCTATTTGTTTTGATCTTCTCTTAGCCTGCTCATCAATTTATACGTTCAAATAAACATTTGTTGGGATTCCGGTATTAACGCTGCTGATCACTACAGTGGTCGAAATCGTAATGCATGCAAGGTGACTCGAAGACCGATGTTGACAACTAAGGGTAGGGACAAAAGCCCTATTTCAGATATGATATTGAGGGTTATCAAGAGTATGTCAGCACCTGTTACGCCTCTGCATGTCACTCCCATGGGAGCCTATCGCAGTGATGCACATGTGGGCAGATGGAGTGACAACCCATCAGTACCAGATTGTAGTCACTGGTGCCTGCCTGGTTTGCCAGATATGTGGAATGAAATCGTTTTTACATACCTTCTGCACAAAGATCAAATCACCCAACAACAAACTGCAAAATGAAGGTATTTTCTGAATTTTTTTGTTTTCCTTTGTTATTTCCTGTTCAGGAACCATTAATTTAGGTTGAAAATCATGATCATCTGAAGTATTCCTTACTGAAATTCACTTTTGAATGGAATTCAACCAATAACCTTTAGCAATGCTTCTTTTAATACTTGTGTAAACAACTAAATAGCAAAGTGTCTCACATACTTCTTAGTTCAGTCTTCATATTGATTAATGTTGGGAGATTATTGCCAACTTTAATGCACTCTGTCCATCCAGAATTAATTAGTTGTCTGAAACCTCCATGATTAAGTATATATGATGACATCTCAAACTTATTACTCCGTATAATTGTTTTCTTACCGTAAACTGCCCACTAATTATGTGTATGCTTAAACTTTGGAAATCTGTGTGTATATGTAATATAGTTCTATTAAGAAATGTAACAACCTTTTCGGAACATTCTAATATAGTGCTGTGGTTTCCATAACTTCGTTTCCTTAATACTGTCAACTTAAAGGTGTTTATTATCTGCCACTTTTATATTTCACGGTACATTTTACCTATCCATTTTAAATGATTAATTGATTTCCCGTTTTAATTAATTGATGACCGGGTCATACTCCTTTAGTCTAGCATGGACTAAAGAGTATTTTAATTGCTATGGGTTGGGGTAACTTGCTTCCAATGAAAGCTGAAAAATTAATGTATATTAGGGAGACAAAAAAAATCTGTTGAAACCAAAATATTGTATAAATCCTATGATATTAGGAAGCGAAGGGAGTAATATGTGTATAAATTCCAGACTGAGGGCATGTATCTATAGTTGAAGATGCTATATTGGAGAACTTCACCTGTATAGGCTATAAAAATCCTGTTGATGAATTTTGAGTCTTTGGCATGTAAGAAGATAAAGTAAGGGCTGTTTTATGACATTTCCCTTTATTCTGAACAAAAGTTGTTTAACGATCAATTCATACATATTTTCCTTTCTTTGTGGTAGTAAAGGGTTTTAGTAATAACTAATAATCAACTATACTTGGCCTGAATTGTAGCTTCTGTTCCAAGTGACTCCAGACACTTATAACTGACAAGGATAATCATCATATGACAAACGATCCTGTATATTTTGAATAGATTAACTTTCATGTCTTAACCAAATAAGTGAGGTTCCTGCCATTGTAAATTTTACATTGTGGTTATTAGTCTCCAACATAGATTCTGTATATTCTTCTGCTTGTTCTGGAAATTAATCATTTGCATTGCTCATGTTAGTGAACAAATTGTTGATTGAATAAATTCCTTTTGTTCTGCAGTTTTGTATTATTACAAATTATGAGACAAAGAGGTGCAACCATGCAAGTGAGGATAAATATACATGTATCAACGTGTTTAGAAAGTTGGAACTTTGACCTGTAAAGTTTCGTTCAGTCATTAACAGTTGATGTCATTGGCATCACTCATCATCAGGCATCTAAACTAGAATTGAATGTGAGATAGAATCATAGATGCTAGGAGCCCACTCATCCTCTGCAGATTGTTGTATGTATTCTTGCTGTATCTGCTGTATGTTTGTAAATTCTCAGTGGATATTCCTGAAAATTCGTTCATCTGTGCATTGTTTGAAGTCCTCTGTCCATATCAACTTGGTTATATACCTAAGAATTCAAGATTTTTTGTACACATTATCGAATTATTGTTGAACATTTTTGCCCGGGAGAGGTACTTTTCACAAGAGCTATATATATACGGTTGTTGTCTTGCTGAAATTTTAGACTATAGATCTTGTTGCGCGCGCCTGTTCTGTTTTTTTTTTTTTCCTGTTGAAGCTGTCATTAAATCAAAGATATTTTTGAATGACTGATTTCTTTATTCATATTATTGGTTTGGTGGGAAGAAAAAAGGCAGAAATGAAGGAAAGAGAGCCTGTGTAGTGTTGTAAAATACAATCTTCATATCTTAACTGAAGTGTTAAGCTAAAAGATACTTAGAAGCATGCATATAAACATGAAGCTATAAATACTCCCTTCAACCTTGTCATTTAGCATCAAACTCTAAAACCCGATTCAATCTAACCAAATATCCCAACAAATCCCAGTTCAAACCATCGAAAATGGCTTCTAGTTCACCAACTGCTGTCAACAACCCCTTCCCACGCCCAACACCACCCTCTCCTGACTACCATCCAACGGTTATAGTCGTCGTTTTCATTTCATTCGGCTGTATCCTCTTATTCGGAGCCGTTCTGTTATGCATTTGGTGGCTCATCAAGAAGCACAAGGAGCGTAAGCACTGTCATGAGAGGAAAAACATTCACGAGAGGAAAGACGTCGATGTGGATGAGCATTTGAGAGTTCAGGAAATGATCGTACGTGGACCTCACGGCCCGAAGAAGGTGTTGGTGCAGGTGGATGACGATGTACGTGTGCACAAGGATAGTCACAAGGAGGAGATTGATATGGTTGGTAAGGCCTTGTACGGAGAGCGCCAAGAGGGTAGCGCTGGTGCTAGTGGTTCTAGCCAAAACCAAAACCTAACCCTTCCTGAGCGCCAAGTTTGATGCAATTGATTGACTCTATTCTTCGATACACTATTGCTGTAATAAATTGTTGATATGATACTACCGCTAAATACTATGTCAAGAAGAAGAGCGGTAAAATGTAATCTTAATGCTTACTTGATTTAATTCAAGTATAATATTAATTCTATTATTCATTTTTTATAACAATCTTTAATGAGTTTATAAAAGTGAAATTGAAAAACATAACAAGGAGAATGAAAATATACTTGTAAATATAACAGTTGACAATATACATAATCAAATAGAAGATATACACGAAATATTCTCCTCGTAAGTTTAGAAGAACGCCTTCAATTATGCAATGAACATGCTTAGCATAGCGTAAGGGGACTAATGATGAAAGGAGACTCCGGATGATCAACCCATCTCACGACAGTAGCAGCAACAACAGATTCTTTAGATCTCACAAAAACAAGAGCATGACCATTCTTACCAATATTCTAATTAATCCTAACATCTTTTACCTCTCCAAAAAACTCAAACATATCCGTAATTTGAACCTTACTAAACTCCCCAAATTCAATCTTGTTCCAAGTAACCCTCAAAATCTTAGCCTTAACCCTCCAAACCTCTTCAAGAACCCGAATATTTTCTTGATTAATCCTTCCCAAAAACTTCTCATACACTAATTTTTCCTCTTCTTGTACCTTCTTCATTGCCTCCTCTTCCCTCCTCTCATTCTCCTCCCTTTCGCGCTCAACCCTCATCCTCAACTCTTTTTAATCCTCTCATTCTTCTCCCATTCGCGCTAAACCTTCATCCTCGTCTCTTTTTTTTATCCTCTCACTCTCCTCCCATTCGATTAATCTATGCTAAATTAGTTAAAAATAAGCTAATAATCACGGCAACAAAAATGACGCTGCACTATTGCGCACAACGCGCGCGATAGGACTACTAGTTTTTCAAAAAGACACAACTTTTTGGAGGTTTTTCACAAAATTTCCTAACTTATATTATTATAATTTACTTGTATATATCATCATCTCATGTGATTAGATGCATAGCTATTAATTACTTATTTTGTAAACAGTGAGGAAAATGATGTTAATCTGTCGCTGAAATTTTTAAAAATACACATTAGGCCAAAATTTGTAAGTTTAAAATGTTCATTTTATTTGAGACTTTTTCATGATATTTCATGTTTCATTTATTGAATATGTGAAATATGTAGAAAATAAAAATATGATTGATAACTTTTGGGACAACATTTTTAGACAATTATTTTTAATTAAATAGAGTGTTATATTAATTGTTAATATTTAAAATTGTGCGTGACATGGGCCCAGTGGCGGAGCCAGGATTTATAATTCGGGGGGACAAATTTTGGAGGTTAAAGTTTCGGCAAAAATCTCAAGAAAAAAATTGATCACCTAAATTGTTTAATATTTATTTGAAATCACATATGCCAATTATTTCTATATGGCAAAAGAGGAATAAAAAAGTTTTATTGTATATTAAGAAAATTATCCAACAAAAATGAATAAATTTATGTTTGTAAATCCCGTTATGTAATCACATAATTGATATATACGAATTAATTACCTTATCATAAAGTCAAATAATTATCGTTAGAACAAATTGATGGTAGATATGAAGGGTCTGGGTTTGAGTTACATTCGAAAAAATAAACTCAACTTTCTCAAATCAATCATATTATTACATATGTATTTCGTATGTATTAATAAAAGTTAAAACACAGTTACAAACAATTAATTAATAGTAATCTATTTATTAGAAATGTAAAAAAATAGAGTTTAAGCACATAATAAAATTAAAAATCCTAAAACAAGAAATAGGAAATGAAAAATAAAATTAAAAAGACTATTGAAAATTAGAGTAATCAAAAAACAAGTAGGGGAAAAAAAAACAAAAAAGCTGAAAAATAGTAGAGTGGGGAATCGAACCTAAGACCAAGGCACAGCCTTACTAAGGACTCAACCACCAAACCATATTCAATATTGTGATATTTACTGTAAGTATATGATATTTATAGCCTTTTACTGTATTTTCTTGATTTTTTTTTTTAAAAAAAAAAAAACTTTTTTTTCGAAAATGGGGGGACAACTGTCCCCCCTTGTTCTAATGTGGCTCCGCCAATGCATGGGCCTAAACTAGTTAATTCATTAAATTACACATTGCTCCCCTCGAGTTGCATGCATGGATTTGACAACTTTTTGATTTTATTGTCCACGATATACTTGCCTTGTTTGGATAATTATCATTTTATAAAGGATTTTGCTAATGAAAGCCCCCACGACATTAGATAGCAATTTCATGGGTCATGAAGGGCTATATATGGATTTTTTTTTTCGACACAGGATCGAATAAATAGGAAGATAAACTATTCAAAAAAAATATATATGTATATATAGGAAGATAATACTCCCTCTAATTTTTTTTTAAAACCTACACTTGCTATTTTCGTCCGTTTTTTTAAAGCTACACTTACTCTTTTGGAAATCCCTTACAATTTAATAATATATCTTTACCCACTAATAGTCCCCAGGCCACTCTCTCTAACTTAATCATTTTTCACTCCAATAATGATCTAAACTCCCTCTCATAGACTCACACCACTTTACTTTTCAATAAAATAGTAATTCTACCTTCTTTTCTTACAAATTTTTATTACCTTATCTACCCCACTAACATTTTATTTTATTAAACCCTTAAAACTCCGCGCAATCCTTGTTTTAGCTTTTTAAAAAAAATAGAGGGAGTAAATAAATAAATATCAAAAGGGTACCAAATTCAATTTCGAGTGTAATAATGCAATAAATGAGTAATTTTATTCCCAAATATAAGTACTACCTCCATTTTTATCTGCAACAAACTTGGTTGCACAATCCCTAAGACAAAATTTCTTAAGCAAAGATTAGTAAAAAGGGGCATGTGATTAATTGGATGAGAGAAAAAGTAAACACCACCAGCATCCACCTTGTAACCACCCTCTCACCACAACTAAGATATGAAACCCCACCACCACCACCACCCAAAACCCACCCAACCAACTTGCACCACCACCAATCAATTCGCACCGCCACCCAAAACCCACTAAACCAACTCGCACCACCACCAATCAACTCGCACCACCACCCAAAACCCACCCAACCAACTCGCACCACCAACAAACGAAGCCCCACGTAACCAGGCCAGTCACCACCAACGAACCGAAACAACCACCTTACCACCTCCGATGGACTGAAACCCCAACAAACCACCACTAATTTAGTTCAAAAACCCCAACTTACCACCACCAAGGAAACGAATCGAAATCCCACCTCACCACCACAAAGATCTGAAACCCCACCTCACCACCACCAAGATCCAAAACACAGCACCACCAAGACCTCACCTCGTATTGGTTAAAAAAAACCATCGAATTTGAAAAGGGGCGGTGACTTTGAAAAGGGGAAAAGTGGCGGCGGCGAACTGGCAAGGGTAAGGTGAAATGATCGGCAACTTGATCTGAGTGGTGGTGGTGGTGTGGTGGTTGTGAGATAAGAGAGAGAAGAAAGAATAGGGTTGCTGCTGGTGGTGGTTGAGATGGAGGAGAGAGAAAAATTGGTAATGTTGGTGGTGGATGTGGTTGTGAGGGAGGAGAGAGAATGTGGGTTAGGGTTTTAATTATGGATAAATTAATTTGATTTAAAGAGTTAATATTTTATTTATTGAAGTTAGTAACATTTAGTAAGGGTATACTGGTAATTTCACATAAAAATTTATTAAAAGAGGAAACTTTTGGTTTGTTGCACATAATATGTAGCATTCGTTCTTAAAAAATGTTGCACATAATACGAAACGGAAGTAGTACCTGGCACTACCAAGAAGATTACAAACAACCAAATCATGGTAATGAGAATATGAGATCAACTTAAGTTAAAACTTCACCCAAATTCATGCAAGTAACTTCACCCCTGCATGTTTCATTCTTACTTTTTTTTTTTTTTTTTTACACAATTTCACATTGCTAATAACTCACAATTGAAAAAATTACAAAAAACTTTAATGTTGTCAAATGCTCATTAATTTATTAATAGAACATGAAGATAGTTTTAATTTTCATCACGAACCCCTCCAAAATGTATCACCCTACCAAAAGCATCATTAATATAGCCGTTATCTACAACAACGTAATCTGGATCACAATTCGCAATTGTATTAGTACGTTCAGGATTTGTCCTATTAATATAGTTATCATCGAGATATGTAGCATGATAAATTGCCGCAGCAGACGATTGATAGCTTCCTTTCACGCCACTGCCCATCTCGGGTAGGGGACTAGGAGGGTTCTTCAATCCAAAATCATAAACCTCGCCTCCCCATTCAACTTGGTTTGCACCATCGACTAATGTATCAAATATTTCGTTAGGCCAATATCCAATTGGTGCTGATGCTATGAATACCCACCAATTTTTGTCAATTATATCCTATACCCTCGCAAAAAAAAAAAAAAAAAAAAAATGCACATGAGAATATCTGAATATGTAAAAACGAAACACTTTTATTTTAGAGCGGCAATATTATATGATAATAAGCTATATCAAATCAATGAGTTGAAAATAAATTGTGAACTTGTACCTTCTGAATCGATAAATCCCAAGACCATTGTTGTCCTCCAATAACTGAGTAATGTGTTGGGGGAAAACCCAAAGGTACGTCTTTATCGACTTGAACAAATCCAAAGCATTGAAGATTTACGGATCCTAATTTAGACCCTCCAACCTATTAAAGTTGTTATGCACATACAAATTAACAAGCTTTTAACATAATTATCAAAAATATGATGTGCCTAATTAGATGACCCAAATATGATGTTTACAACATGAATGAAGCATTTGTTGGAGTAAAGAGAGTAAAAGTCATGTTACTCGAGTAGTTTGTGGTTTTTTTAGAGTTTGATCAGTTTACTCCACAAGTAAAATGTGGCCTATCACGTTTGTCCACAGGTTAGTTGTGGAGTAGACTTTTTCATGCCTAGATTCACCCTTTGGCTTTTTACTCTTTTTCTTGAATTCCTTGTTGATCTTTGGTTATTCTTATGTAACCTCCTCATTCAAGTGGTTGTTAGTTGTCATTAAATCATCTTCATTATTCTGATTTAATCACTCATTTGATGGTTACATTATATTTGACTTATCACACTCCTTGCATTGTCAATATATGCCTTAGAATCTTTTCAGAAAATATACTACATACACAATTTACATAATAAAAGAGCTAAACACGTTTCTTCTTCTTTTGAGCATAAGTTTATATGGCTCCACCTCTCACCCAAAAGTGCCTTTGAATGAGAGTGATGTGTAACCTTAGAAAATGTACCGGCGATACAGTGAGCATCTCGGTTGCGCCGAAATTCGTTTTCAAAGATAGTGACGAAATTTCACGCCACACCATCTTTCTTTTGATCAAACAAATACATTATTATTTATTCTATCATTTGTAGCCTTTGAAATACTTATTTTTACAACAACGTTCACAATATGATAATGTGAAAAGGGTGAACATGCTTCTCACACATCATTTATCATACCATCCCTATTATTTTTTGTTCAAATCACTTACGAGGGAAGTCCTAATGTATATTTGTGCGAGATTTAATACCAATTGAATATTTTTTTTTGGGTATATTTTGTGTTCGATATCAATTGACTTCTTTAGGTACACAAATGTGGTTATTTGGTAACATGATAGTGAAAAAAAGTGCGTGAAATTATCATTATACCCTGTGCGAGTCTACCTCGTACAAGTAGAAAAAGTGAAAATGTTGAGTGAATGTAAGAAAAAAGGAGTGTAGGAGTAAAAAGGTGGGTGAGTGTAAGCTAAAGTATGATATATAGAGTGTACAAAAAGGTGGACGAGTGTAAGATAAAATAGAAGAAAGAGTATATTCCTTCCTTTTTAGTAGGTTGCGTTTGTTAAAAACAACTTTTTGACAAAATAATTCTGCATGGAAAATAATTTTGAAGGAAAACACAATTGTAAAAAAATAGTATTCTTTTGTTTGTTTCTTTACAAAAAAATATTACATAGGAAAGGGAAAATAGGAGTGGAAGGGACAATATAGATTAAAAGAGAGGTAAGGGATGGAAGGAGTGTTGAGGAAAATATGGCATATCTTCCTTTTAGAAGGAAAATGTTTTCCTATTAACCAAATAATGGAAAACGGAAAATGAAAAAATTATTTGCAAGGAAAATGTTTTCCGTCAAAACATACAGAGTCTTTACACACTTTTTTTTTTATTTTTATTTTTATTTTGGGAAACCAAGAATTTGTTTGGTATATATATGCAGTTTTTTCTTTCATATAACTAGTGGTAGATTTGGTTTAAGCTCCAATTGTTTTGACGGATGACAATTTTCAAATAAACGATTTTCCTATTTTCCATTGTTTGGTTAATAGGAAAACATTTTTCTAAAAGGTGGAAAATAGCTCTCCTAAAAGTAAAATTTTTCCTTTTAAAATGAAGGTTTGCCACATTTCCTCTCTACTCTTTACATCCCATCTCTCCTCTCATCGATCCATCTTCTCTCTTCCACCTTTATTTCCTTCTTCCTCTACAATTTTTCTTGTAAGGATACAAACAAAGGAAAACTATTTATACAATTATGTTTTTCGCCCTTGGAAACGATTTTCCATGCATGATGAATCATTTTCCAAAAAATATGTATCCATTAAAACAAATTGCGCAAAGATTACAAATTTTCTAGTTTTTCATTTTCCGTTTATATATGAAACTTTCAATCTTCCAAATTGAGCAAAGATTACAAATTTTCTAGTTTTTCATTTTCCGTTTAAATATGAAACTTTCTATCTTCCATTTTCTTTTTTCAGTATTTTGTCATTTTCTTAATTTTTTTTATCAAATGTTGATTATGCTTTATGCTTTATGCTTGATAAATGTTTCAATATTGTGCTTTACTTTCTTTTATTAAAAAAAAAATCAACATAAAATATAACCAAAAAATTTGATTATGGGCGTATGGCTTTTAGTATTGAAGGATAGTGTCCTTTAGGACTTTATCAAAAAAAAAAAAAAAATACAATGATTATGTGGCATAGCTTTTTTTTTTTTTTTTGAAAAAATTATGTGGCATAGCTAAGAATTGAGAGTTTGGGGTTTAGAGAATTCTCATAAATCCTAAATTTAAATAACAAAGTAGATTAAAAAAAAATCTATTTGTTGACACAAATTTCGAAATAACAACGGATTTTAAGTGAGGCTCTCCTTGTCCTAAACCATGAGGATACTTAAGTGCTTGACATAATTTAGAGATTATATATTGTCCTATGAGGTACGAATTGAAGTACATTGATAAGAATATTAGCTTACCTCAAAACTCACATACAAATGTGCTTCAAAATCGTTAAATACTTTCGGATTTACCTGAAATTTGACCACATTAACATAGTTGACATCAAAAGTGAGTGTTACAATAATTCTCTTATAATCTAAGATATAATTTGAAAACAATAATTTAAAAAATTTTCATACCAAGTATCCAGCTTCTACGCTATCTTTCCCATTTAAAAGTTTTATTCGCGCAGAAGAATATTGGCCAAAATCATTTACAGTAGGTTTATATATAAGGAGTGTACCACTAACTCCAAGGAAATTCCTACTTGAATCTTCACTCGTCTGAACTCCAGCAACCTACACAGATTTATAGCTATTTAAACATTTGCATGGTTATATCACGTTATTATTACTTTTATTTAACAATTATTTCTAAACAATAATATGTCATTACATAATTGATTATGTATTGGTGCAATTTTGTTTACCTATTAAAATATAATTATATACAAAGTAATTTTCTTGATAGGAAAATCTAATTAATTATTGTTATTTAAAAAATGACACATTGTACCCAAAAAAATTTAAAAAAAATAACCCTTACGCAATGTACTAGTTTGGGTTCAGGAGGTGGTGGATCCTCGCCCCAATGGGAATTTGGGTTGGTTCTTAAAATGGGAACGGTCCCTATAGGACAGCCATCTTTAAGTCCAAAGCCATTAACTTTCTGTCTTTGAAATTCTTCTATCTTTTTTGGCAATACCTGTGCATATAAATAAAAGTTAAGGAAAAATAAGTCAAGTTCTCTTCACCTTAAAAAACAAATAATCTAAGTTCTAAAAAAATAAAATAAATAGAATATAGCCTAATTGAAATTTAATTTAAAGTATGTCATTTAATTTGAATTGAAAAACATTGAAAGTTATTTGGGTATACTATTTAGCATATTTAGCCCATGTTATTGAATTAGTCATGTATAATTGGGCTTTAGGTCTAGTGATTCGTAGCATAGACTTGTCACTTTTTTTTTTAAATGGTAAGAAGGTTTCTGACCAGACTTCAACCCTTACGGTTTTTTTGTCCAGTATTTACGGGCCAAATACTTAGGAGTAAAGGGGAGGGTAAGCGAATCCCTACCCCTAAGTACCTTCACTTGTTAGGATTCAAACCCAAAATCTCTCAAATATAAGGTAAGAACCTTACCAAGTGAGCCAACACTTTGTTGGTACACAGACTTGTAACAATGTAAACAATACAAAGCAAGGAAATCAATTTCCAAAAATATCGAAGCGTCTAGCATACCCTACCTTTGAATCAGAGCGTCTAGCATACCCTACTTTTGAATCGGATTATTATTTGTAATTTGAGTATTCATCTATCTTTCTTATGATAATTTTGACAATACAACCAAAGATTAAAGGAATAAGAAAATATACTTGTAAATACAAAGCATAACACGTGTTAAATACATTAATACAACAAAGACACTTGCCTTGGATGTATGGTGTTTTAACAATGGATGATTAAACGCCGGTTGTTTGTAAAAGTCTACACAATCATAAACACCATATTTTGTCTGTTGGAAAAAAAAATATTAGACTAAATAACTTTTAGTTACATACTTACATAATCCAGCATTATAAGCAAATAAAGGAAGCTAAGGGACATAATCATCAAATAACGTACCTTGATAATCTTCGATTCTTGTTTGCTAGGGAAGGATGTCCTACATAACCCATTGAAAACTAATGAAAAACAAATCACTAAGAACAATATAGGAGAAGTCATTCTTATCTCAAAAAAAAAAAAAAAAAAAAAAAAAAAAAAAAAAAAAAAAAAAAACTACTGCCTTTGATATGGTTTTTACAGCTAATAGAGTGTGTGTTATAGTGCTTAAATAGAGATTTTAGGATCAAAATCATGAAATAAATCAAAACTCAGCTCTATCTTTTGATTAGCTATGCATATTTATGTATACCATATAAAAAGGATTATTAGCCTAAAACCATATTGACCAAAATGGAAGCATATCAAGTATTTGAAATTGAAATTAATTCATTCATGAATAATAACAATAATAATAATTATAAAGATGATGACAATAATAATAATGGTAAGAGAAGGTATTAGGTGCGGCAAGCCGCACTAAAGAATTCGTGCGGCAAGTATATATGATATGTAGTATTTGGTGGAGGATATGTATTATTTGATAGAGAATATGTACAACTTGTTGGAGAATATGTGTTATTTGATAGAGAATATGTATAGTTTGTTGGAGGATATATATTATTTGTTGGAGGATATGTACAGTTTGTTAGAGGATATGTACAATTTATCATTGATAGAGGATACGTACAGTTTATTAGAGGATATGAGGTAGTATTTGGTGGAGGATATGTAGTATTTGATAGAGAATATATACAATTTATCTTTGATAGAGAATACGTACAGTTTGTTAGAGGATATGTGAGGTAGTATTTGGTGGAGGATATGTGTTATTTGATAGAGGATATGTATTATTTGATAGAGGATATATACAGTTGGCTAATATGTTTATTTTGTTAGCTTACCTGTTGCTTTTCTTTGCTGATTTCATCCTTTTGTTTATGTTCAATCAATTGGCTGATATGTATCTTTTGTTGACAGATATGTTCCTTTTGTTGGCTGATATATTTCATTTGTTAGTTGATATGTTCCTTTTGTTAGCTGATATACATAAAAATAATTAAAAGGTCAACAATGGCAGAACCTCCATTGAAGGTCCCGCACTAAGATCATTGAAGGTCCCGTACTAAGCTCATGGATATAACATAACTTGCTCATTTCTCAACCAAAATACATGCATTTGTTATCAAAACGCTCACAATTCAACATAAATCACATGGGATAATCAATTTCAATAATTATACATCACATAAGAAAGCCCCAATTCGATTTTTTTGGGCATATTTCGGAAAATCCGAGGATAAGCATAAATCATGGACAAATATAATCAACAATCTTTATTTTCTCTCTCCTCTCCATCCTCGGGTTGCGTGGTGTTGTGATGGAAGTTGGTGGCTGGTGGTTTGTGCGGCTGCGAGGAGTAGGTGGCTGGAGAAATATTTGTTGCAGTTTGTTGTTGGTGTGGAGGTTAGAGGCAGTAAGGGCTAGCTTAAAGTTGGTGTTGGCGGTGCAGCAACAAGGTAGTTCCGGGGTTGGCTGGGCAGGTTGTTTTGGGGGTCAGGGTTGGCCGGTCGGTTGGTTTTGGTGGTTAAAAGGGGGTGGTCGGCCAGTTCCGGCGAGGTTAGGGGGTGGGGTTGGGGTTTGACGGTAGGGAAAGGGCGGCTGTGATTTTTTTTTGTTTTTTTTTAATTTTTATGTTTTAATTTTATTTTTTATTTTAGGCCAATCACTTGTTGACACGTGTCATGATTACGTGTTATAACAGATCATTGACTTAGTATTGACCGGTTGGGACCATTGGAGGCAAACATATAGTAAAGTTGGGGTTATTAGATAATAAACCTTAGTTAGGATTATTAGAAGTAAATCGCCTATAGTTGGGATTATTAAAGTGTATTTTTCCTTCATATAAAATACAAATAAGGTTTATTATTTATTTGAGAGTGTAACAAATTATCAAATTTGTATATATTTACAATGAATAATATAGGTTCGTATTCGCACAAAAAAATAATAATATAGGTTCGTATAAAACATAGGAAACTCCGTCAATATAAACATCTAATCCAATTAATCCATCCAAATTAACCAAGCATGCTTGGTGGAGTACTCACCTTGTAACTGAGGTTACAAGTTCGAATCCCACCAATTACATTTGCTTTGTAGTTGGGGAATTACCTTATTTCCCCCATCTACTCTCAAGTGATGATAATACTATACCTGACGATGACCAAAATAGCAAAACAACATTTACACTAAAATGTAATACTCCCTCCGTTTTTTTTAAAGCTAAACTTATTATTTTCGTTCGTTTTTTTTAAAAAAAAAAAAAAAGCTATGGGTTTTTTTACATAGTAACCCTGTGATATTCACTTTTCCAAGCTATACCCTCCCCTTTTCAAACTTCCACGCTGTAACCCTAAGGTACATTAAGTGATTACGCTGTAACATTGACATTAACTTTCCGTTAGTTGTTGTTGTTAGTGGAGCCCACGTTACACCCATTAAACTTTTTTCTTGATTTACGTGCTAAAAATGTTCCGTTAGACGTTTAAGGGGTTATTTTAGCCCTTCATCATCCAAATTGAGCTCAAATTTGGCAAAAAATAACGTAAAAGCCCCATTTTGTGAATTCAGATTTCCGCAGTTAAAATTAGAATTCACAAAGCGGGAATTTTACCTTTTTTTTTCTTTTTTTTTATTTCTTTTTTTTTATTGTCAAATCCGAGCTCAATTTGGACCCTCTTAAAACCTTTAACGGGATATTTTTCAGCACACAAATCGAGAAAAAAATATTAAAAATTACAAAGTGGGTCACACTAACGGTGACCGTTAACAGTACGATAATGCCAAGGTTACAACGTAATCACTTAATGTAGCTTGAGGTTACAACGTGGAAGTTTGAAAAGAGAGGGGCACAACTTGGAAAAGTGAATACCATAGGGTTACTATGTAGAAAAACTCAAAAGCTATTCTTCCACTTTTGGAAACTCTTTACAATTTAATAATACTTCCTTCGTTCGAGTAATATTGCAATAACTGGACTTTTACACTATTCGTCACGCTTGTTTGACCACATAGTATGATTTATACATAAAGTAAAACATAGTCATGTGGGGTCTTGTTAGATTCGTCTCGTAAAATACTTTCACAATATCAACTTTTTATAATTTTTACTCTTATATAATTGTAGATATTTAACACATTTAATGTGCTTTAGGATTCGTAATTTCATCCTTATTGCAATATTTGTGGAACAGAGGAAGTATATATTTACTAACTAATGTCTCCACTCTCACTTACTTTATCATCTCTCAGACTCTCACTTCTCCAATAATCCCTACTCCCTCTCACACCACCCACTAACATCTTAATTCGTATTTTATTAAACCTCCTAAAATTCCGCATAATTCTAACTCTAGCTTTTAAAAAAGGGATTTGTTAAACATCACCCACAAATTACTACATAAAGCCCACAAAATTAATATGATTTGACAGTTTTGCCCCTTTGTCAATTTTCTCTGAAAACGAAAATTTCACTCACCGAAAAATGTGGAGTCGTACGGGGACGCCGGGGGAGGCCGGAGATCCGGGGGACGACGAATGTCATCGGAAAAGATGGCTGGCGTCCGGAGGAGCCGCCACCACCGTGGCACCGGCGCCTGGCCGGGACGCCGCCACCATGGCGGTGGCGCCTAGCCAGGACGCCTGTACCATGGTTGAGGCTTCCAGGCCAAGCGCCATAACCATGGTACTGGCGTCCCGGCTAGGCGCCACCACCATGGTGGCGGCGTCCCGGCCAGGCGCCGGTTCCAGGGTGGTGGTCCGGCCATTTTTTTTTTTTTTTTTTTTTTACATTTAACTTGCTTAAAATTCAAAATAAAAATTTTATCAGTTACCAAAAAAAAAACAAAATATTAAACAAAAAAAAGAAATTTTTTTTCTCAATTTCCAATAAAAAAAAACACAATATTACACAAAAAAAAAAAAAAACAAAAAAAAAAACATGATATTACACAAAAATAGAAAAAAAAAATCTCAATTTCCAAAAAAAAAAATATTATACAAAAAAAAAAAACTAAAAAAAAAAATAACAAAACAACCACGGCAAGGTGGTGGGGCGCCTGGCCAGGACGGCCGACGCTTGGTGGTGGCGCCAGGTCCGGCAGCCACATCCACCGGCCTGGCGTCTGGGCAGGACGCCCAGCCACAGTGACTGGCGCCTGTCCCAAACGCCACTCACCGTGGCTACCCAGACGCCAGGCCGGTGGACGTGGCTGCCGGACCTGGCGCCACCACCACCTTGCCGCCACGAGCCACCACCACCTTGCTGCCACGAGCCAACCACCTTGCCGCCACGAGCCTCGACATCCCCGTACTTTGATTTTTATTGAGGTTGTGTTTTTTTTTTTAAGGTAAAGGGCAATATTGTAACTTCAATATAAGTTTGGGGGCTTTATGTGGAGATTTGCGGGCGATATTTAGCAATTCACTTAAAAAAACGGAGGAGTACTTCAAAATCCGTACCATACATTGAACATAAATCCATTGACAAAACATAGATTTTTTTTTTTTTTTTTTCTTTTCTTTCATGGGATAAATAGCACCAAGAAATTGACCAAAATAACCAATCATCTTCCTTTTCATATTAATACATTCAAGTTGATGATTAACAAAGCATCTATCTTATGTAATTATTGGCACTATTTGCCTTAAATTATTATTCCATAACTTAAAAGTTAAACCTTTTTAACGTACCAATTAACACTGTAGCAAGTGGTAGAGCAAAACCAGGGGTTTAATTAAAAACCCACAAAAATGGTTTTAAAATTCAGTTTGAGCCTATTGTTTTTACGTGTCACCTGTTAAAGAAACCAGCTCACAGTAATACACACTCAATTAATTTTTATTTTTATTACAGGAAAACGAAAATTAAGGACACCCACTTTTATTATAAATGCCCATGAAGTTTGGGTACATTGACAAATATTCGGTTATCCTCAAAAACAATTACTGTTGATTTCTTGGAGAAAATTCTAAAGATTTCTATCCAAAAAAAAAAAAGAAAAAAAAAAAAAAGTTGATTTCTTGGAGAAAAATTAAGTCCCCTGTTTTTATATAAATACAGAAAAGGTTGATTAAGAAGTGTAACAAATTATCAAATTTCAGAAAGATGTCGAACACTGCTGGTCAAGTTATTCGTTGCAAAGGTATGATCATAATGATTTATTTACTGCATTTATTCATGGGTATTAGTTTAATTTCCATTTTATGATTTCAAATATTTTTTATAAAGATAAAAGTTTATGTTTCATTTCAGTTTTTGAATTTTTTTTTTTTTTTTTGGTTTAATTTAATTATTTTAAGCACTGTTTCTAGATGTTTGGGAATTTTGTTTGTCAGTGTTTTTTTCTTTTTTTTTTTTTTTTTTTTTGGTAGATATTGTGATGAAATTTTAAATTACAATTAACTATTTGAAAAGATCATGGGTTATTAGCTAAATGGTGGACTGATGTGGGATGGAATATGTTAATTTTAAAGTGAAGTGTCGACATTATTTATTAATATGCCCAATCCAATAATTTTAACTATTTGATTAATGTCCGATACTATCTCATTTCTGGATTATTATCAAAGAACAAATTTAACCTTTACTAATTTTTGACTTAAATAGTGAGGTTATCTAATAGTGTGAAATTATGAGCTTTGATTGACAACTAATTTAATAGTGTCAATTTATGTGTTGAATTAATACTTTGCATGTTAGAATAATATCCTAGTATAATTGTGACCTTAAATGATAAAAAATACAAGGCTATATTTATCAATTTGTACTTTGTAGTGTTAAAAGCCTAAAACTATAAAAGCTACTCTTTAGACTCTAGAGTCCCCCGTCTCTAAATGTTCTTCCTGACACTTTTTTTTTAGTGGCAGTTACCATTTAAACCGAACAGGAAGAACTTTTAGTGACAGGAGGTAAAACGGAAAAATATAAGAAATGGTATTAATTTTGTATGAAAAATGCAGCTGCTGTAGCATGGGAAGCAGGAAAGCCATTAGTGATAGAGGAAGTGGAGGTTGCACCTCCACAAAAAATGGAGGTTCGAGTGAAGATCCTCTTCACTTCACTTTGTCACACTGATGTCTACTTCTGGGAGGCCAAGGTTAAACTTAATTCGATATGTAATGTTTTACTTATTGTTTTCAATGTGTGTAATTTAATGTAATCTTTTACTCATATGATCTGTTTTTTGCTGATTGTTCAGGGGCAAACACCTGTTTTTCCTCGAATCCTCGGTCATGAAGCTGGAGGGTATGTCTATTTTCTTCAACATTCTTGTGCTACATGGTTAATTTTGTGTTTCAGTGTTTCTTTCCATTGAATTTATTGGATAACTGAAATTGTTAGCACCTACATGACACTTTCTTCTTGTTCTTAAATTCAACTTTTGTTCTTTTTATGTATGTTCTGCCTGATTTTTTCTGTTTTTTCTTTAAATTAAATGGTATTAATTCAGTTCTAATTGTTGAATGAAACACATGCATAATTTATCATTCTTAATTGATCAAGCCTACCTTATGTTGTCTCCGTCTGAAATTAGTTATCAAACTGTCCCAACTTCACATGATCAAAGATATAACATAATTTCCCCTGACATCCTAAATGTTGTAGAATATTTTAGTATGAATTATGTACTGACTACTGAGGGGGTATATTAATAAGAAACTAATGATCACATTAAACTATGGTACATTCATTAGACTATTAGAGGTATTTATGTAGGAATGATAATACTGGATATGCATTGATTATAGTGATTTCTGTGCATTTGATTATGTAGAATTGTGGAAAGTGTTGGAGAGGGTGTGACAGAGCTAAAGCCAGGAGACCATGTTCTGCCTATCTTCACTGGTGAGTGCAAGGAATGTGCACACTGCAAATCAGAGGAGAGTAACATGTGTGATCTCCTGAGGATCAACACCGACAGAGGTGTGATGCTTAACGACGGGAAATCGAGGTTCTCAATCAAAGGACAACCCATTTTCCACTTCGTCGGAACATCCACATTTAGTGAATACACTGTGCTTCATGTTGGCTGTCTTGCCAAGATCAACCCTGAAGCATCCCTTGACAAAGTCTGTGTTCTGAGCTGTGGAATCTCTACAGGTACTAAATAAAAATCCGAATTCATTACTCTTGAGTCTTGACACAATACACTGAAGCTTAATATGTGATTGAATTATTGTTTTCCGGGGCTTTCTTTACAGGTTTTGGCGCGACTGTGAATGTTGCTAAACCAAAGAAGGGTCACACAGTTGCTGTTTTCGGCCTAGGAGCCGTTGGCCTTGCGGTTGGTACCTCGTCTTTAATACATTATGTACTTATTTTCGTCTATACAACTTTGTCAATGACCTTAGTAAAATTCATTTATATCTTGATGTCTTTAGGCTGCTGAGGGCGCCAGAGTTTCTGGTGCATCAAGGATCATAGGTGTGGATCTGGTGTCTAGCAGGTTTGAAGCAGGTAAACCATGATATACCATCCTTGATAGTTTACATTACTACAAGTCTAGAATATGTACGAGTATAATTTGATGATTTTACTGCGGTTTAACAGCTAAGAAGTTCGGTGTGACTGATTTTGTGAACCCGAAAGACCATGACAAACCAGTTCAAGAGGTTTTTCTTACTCCCTACTCCTAAAGGACTACATAACATGACCTTTCTGCTACTGTAATTTATTCAATTCATGTTCTTATGCTTCTTTCATTAGGTAATTGCTGAGATGACTAATGGAGGTGTGGACAGAAGTGTCGAATGCACTGGAAATATTCAAGCCATGATTTCTGCTTTTGAATGTGTTCATGATGTACGTTCCTAACAATCCAATTTCTCAACCCCTTATAATATCTCTCCCTGTTCTATTAAAATAGGCCTGAACTATCCTTTACGCCTTTAGATATGTACTGATTTATATTATACGGATTTGATCGACTTCAGGGCTGGGGCGTTGCTGTTCTTGTTGGCGTGCCCAACAAAGATGATGCTTTCAAGACTCATCCCATGAACTTCCTTAACGAGAGGACGCTCAAGGGAACTTTCTTCGGCAACTATAAGCCTCGTACTGATATCCCAGGAGTCGTGGAGAAGTACATGAACAAGGTAAGAATCCCACTAATTCTAGCTATCTTTCCTAACAAATTTCTCATTTACTAAATAGCTCATTAGCATCTTATGACATGATGCAGGAGCTTGAGCTGGAGAAATTTATAACCCATGAAGTCGCTTTCAAGGACATCAACAAGGCTTTCGACCTCATGCTGAAGGGTGAAAGTATCAGGTGCATTATTCGGATGGATGCTTGAACTGTTATATAGAGCTGACTTAGAGTTTAAGAATGAAGAAATAAATAAAAGAATAAAATGTCGTTTTTTCTTCTTTATTCTCTTTACGTATATGGAAGGGTTTTCCCTTAGTGCTTCGACTGCCTTTGGAGAATTAGTGTTTAAACTTTCGATATACCAAAATGTTAAAGAGTGCATGTTAGTATGATTGCAGGCTTTTGTGAATCTTAGTTCTTTACTGAATTAGTTCTTAAATTTCTGGCTTTTCCCAGTGAAATTTTGTTTGTATGTGCTTCCAAGGGATTCTACCAACCCATTATAAGAGCATGTTTGGTTAGTGTAATTTTTGGATTGGAAACGGATTTGATTAAATCGATATCGTTATCGAGTGTTTGGTTAGAAGGTTTGGTAACAATTACCATTACCTAAGGGTAATGGTTACCTCTCAAAAATTTAGGGTAATAAATACCTTATCCTCCTCAAACACAAACAAAAGGAGTAAAGTTTAACCGATTTCTTTCCATGATCAAACCAAACAAATGAAAAGGTAATAGTTAATGATTCTTTTCTACCTCTTATTTATTTTCTTTCCATTCCGTTTTTATTATCCGAACTAAAAGCCCCCTAAAAAATTACGAAAAAACCTCATAAGGTAACTCCCCAATGTGCTAAGGGTCACTTTCTTAACCGATTAGACAAATGTTGATTGATTCCAAATCGTGAGTTGCCTTATAGAATAGGCCATTTACTGATTCCAATTTGACCAGTTTGAGACGAAAAGGCTAGGAAATTTGTAAAAACAAACTTGTCAGTTTAACCAGATGTGATCCAAAGAGAAGACATACTATGAAATAGAGGGCCTTCACCGGTTTAGTTAAAAGTGGCAAAATTCAATTACTACAACTACCACGGGATGGCTAACCACCACAGTTTCAAACCAAGCCAGTGACTTCTTCGAACTACATAACACACCACAACCATTCCCATCTTACCATACTTATAATCCGACAAAGACAGCAACAGTGAAAGATATAGTTAAAGACATTTCACGTTACTACGTGTGATATTTAGTTGATAAAATGTTTCAAGGTCATCTTTGTATTTAAAACTTCTTAACTAATAAATGTTTGTGTAATGTGTAATACAAAACATTACTGTAAGCTTATATTTCGTGATTGATTCAAGTTGTGCGACGAAAACTGGAATAAGAGAGATCGTGGAAAAGGTTAGATTTAAAGGTACTGGAACGCAAAGCAGGGTAATTTTTGGGTATTAAGGGATTGGCACAACTGAAATCACCAAAGCCCTTGTTTTATTCAACACCCCCTTCGAAACTTTGTAATTTTAAATTATTGCAGCTAAATCAAAAAACAGATATGAACGTACAAGTAGGGAAAAAAAGACCTATAAATTAATCGTCTCTATTAATCTATCTAAAATATACATTGTGCTTCATGGAACAAAATTTACACCATCCCGGAAAATCAAATTATTTGCATCATGACTGTGCCAACTTCGCCAGAATACCCATATCCAATATCTTAACATCGAGTGATTCATCTACTTTTACAATTCCATCGGAACCATCCACCCCAATCAATTTACCTGTAAACCCTCGTTGTGCACCTCCCATTATCTTGATTTTGTCAGCTTTCCTTGGAGTAATCAAGTCAATCTCATTTGGCAGGGCAGTTATCACCTCACCATTGCCACTTGTTCCAAGTGCAACTCGGCAAGAACCATCCTGAGAGAATAATAAAGATGAGACAGATTCAAGGACACTAATATGAACACGAATATTCAATTGTTTGCATGTATACATTTGCGCACTCCTGCAGATTAGCAGACAAATATGTGGACTTTCATGAAGCATTGTTTACATGATAAGACACTTCAGCAATTCTTGGAATAACTTAACATACAAGAGAAGCCAACTAAATTAATCACACCATCAGAAAAATTCTGAGATTGCAAAGCAATCATAGTCAAACAAAAAAGAACATACCGCTAGCACTTCCTGCACAACTCCCACCATGGAATCATCACCTGACTTGACCACATTAACCAAAATGTCAGGCATGAGCCATAATCCTTCGTTCTCACCACCTGCACATCAACGTTACACGCAGAGACAAAATTAATATATGTTCAGATTCTCTATACATCTAAATTGAGCAAACAGAAGGCTTACTGAGTAAAGCAGCAGATCACCTTCCATACAAATATACCTATAGGTCAGGTTCAAGTAGTTCCCACCAAACATCCCAAATTTTCAAGACAACCCACACAAGAACATCATGCTCATACTACATTTTCCATAAATATACTTGTTAAACTTCACCTCATTGAAAATCAATACATACTATCCTGAAGCAAACAATGTCATTTTATCCAAAGATGAGAAGCTTAAAAGGCCAAGTGGTTTGCTTTTGTTCTAAAAGCCAAGTTCATTTTAATTGCAAATTAGCAATAAATTTTTAATTCAAAAGCTTGCATAATTCCAAGTCTGCGAACATTATATAAGTGACAGATAACATAACTATAAAAGAAATCAATCCATACCACAAAATGACAACAATGTAAAAAAAATAAAAAATAAAAAATAAAAACAAAAAGAGAGAGATTACCAGAGACCAACTTATATTTCAATCAGACCACATTTTCAGAGTGAGCCTTTAAAAAAGACATCCAATAAAAGACCAGGCTTTCAAGCAAGAAACAGTGTAGGCGAAAAGAAAAGTACCAAAAGCAACCTAGCAGTTTGAGCTTGCCTACCTAAAAGAACTAAAATTCTCATGATTCATATCTGGACCTGACGACCACTGGAAAACCATGCTGAAAAATTCCGGGATTTGCAGCCAAAACTTGAAAGACAGTCGTAGCATATAAACCCAATTATTTCTACCTTAGCAACTCAAGCAGAGGTGCTACAAGCCTAGAATATAATTATCACTGGAAAACCACTGAAAAAATTCAGGATTTGCAGCCAAAACTTGAAAGACAAGTCATATAGCTTATTTCTATCCTAACCATTCAAAGCAAAGGTGCTACAAGCCTACAACATGATTACCCAAACACCAGCCCAGGAAGTTCTCTAAAACTATCAAAAATGATACACCCTAATATGCCGCAATTACATTATAGCAATCGACTGATAAATGAGGCTAGCAGTAGATATTGACACCTCTCCAGAGAGATAATCAAAATAGAATACTTAATCAGTGGAAGTAGCTAACCATATTTCAAAGCTATCAACCAACAGGATGTGATTAAATGCAAAAGAGAGAAGAATGTTGTATTGGATGAAGCTCAAAAGGGGGCACAAGAAAGAAATCAAACCTATTGTAGGAGACATCATATCAAGGCCGCCACCACCAGGCGTCATCGGTTGCCCGCCAGGAGTACCAGGTAGATACGACACAGAACTTGGTGTCAAGGGCCCACCAGGTGTTGACGGCATATAAGGACTTGGAGCATTGGCTGGAATGAGGATACAAATCAGTTAAATATTAAAAGAAAGGATCAAGAGACACCAACAGTTCACAAAAAAAAAAAAAATGTGAATGGATAGATAACTTACGATAAGCTGAAGCACCATCTCTTGGGGTCGCAGGGTCAGTATAATTGCCACCAGGAGTTGGAGCCCAGCCTGAAGGAGTAAGGGCATCATACGTTCTCGAGGGGGGACTTCCAGGCTGAAGAGCATTAAGCACGTCAAGCAAATTTCAAGAGAATAAAAAATTACTTGCTATAAAACATTTAGAAATTAACCCATACCCGATACTGTGGACTTGTTCCCCAAGAAGCGGGATTTGCTTCCTCCCAGTCATCCCTGACATCACAAGATCCAGGAATCAGTCAAAAGAACAGATATCAGGAGATTTAAAACAAAAGATACCTGGCAGGGTGGCATTCATCCAAAACAATCAAAATTAACACTTTCTTTCGGCAATTTACTTAATAATCCATTTAATATACTTTCATCATCCATTAATTTTCAGCAACTAATAATGTATATTCGCTTAATTAACCACAACAGCCTCTTCGACAATTTTTAGCTTGGAAAGGGCATGTCTACAGCTCAAGAAAAGCAACTTCCTCCATTCCTTTGATATTGCAACTTAACTCTTTACGAAGTTTCACAAATAACACAACATAACCATTTAAGGAAAACAAGAATCTCCTTTTACACTGCAAACACCAACATACCCTTGTCGACACTTGTTGCTTTAGTTTATACATGCAATCACATTGCAAGTTTGCAATTTTGCCTATCTTACTTATTCCAACTTCTGAAAATCTTGTACACTTCCCCCATGTTGCAACATTACAGAAATGGAGTAAAGTATAAAATATCAACATAGCCTTTTCAAAAAATTAATTTTTTGCATTCTAGTCTTATATCTACTAGAGGCCATAATGTTCGACTGGATTACCAAGAAGAACAAAATCAAAGACAAAAGCATAACGACTGACCTGGCTGGACTCATTGGGGCATATGGGTTCCATGCACGACTCCGCATTGGTGTCCTCATACCATCATGAATGGGAGTAGCTAGAAAAAGACAGTAACCAAAGCATGTTAAGGAAACATGACTTATATTTCAGTCACATTGTTATAGCATGATATGCAAAGTTACAAAGACATATTAAAACACCAACCTCGCGCTTCTCTCATAGGAGTCATGTGTGAATGCATTGGTGTGCGTGAAGGATGCATAGGAGTCTCACTGCCCATACCATATCGTGTTGGTTCCCTAAGATGAAAAAAAGGGTAAGATACACGGCATATCACAGAACAACAAAGAATACAGTAAAAAAGAAAAAGGCTATTACCGGTATGGTGTAGTAACCGTCACATTATCAGATATATAACTTCGCTCAACTGTTAAAAAAATAAAAAAGTTGAGCTATTAGCTTCATGGTGTAAGAAACTAAGATGCCTGTCAATAATCACACAGTAAAAAAATACTTGCCTGTGACCTCTTTCATCTGAGATTCCAACTCAACTCGTACAGTTGTACCCTTAATGTCCTTCACACGTCCTCGGTAACCCTTGTAAGGCCCAAGACGTATTTTAATTGTAGTCCCTATGAGAGAATCATGCCCTCTCCCACCTCCTCTATTCCTTCCTCCAACTGCAACATGATCACAAGTTACAATGTATGTTATTCCATTTAATATCAAGGAAAAGTTGAGGGAACAAGCAAAAATACATGCCAAGTTGGAAGAAAATCAACATGGTCACTTCTGAGGTCAATAACACATGCCAAGTTGAAGGAAAATCATGCAAAGGGACTCACAATCTGATTGAGGACCCCTTGGTGGTAGTCTTCCAGG